GGGCGGGGCCAGGGCCCCATGGAGGGTCCTCTTTTTTTATTTGTTCAATATGGTAACCTTAGTACAGCCAGAAGGATAAAGCAGTCTCAGGAAGCCCCTTAGGGCATGTCTATACTGCAATCAGACACCTGCAGCTGGCCCATGCCAGCTGACTCGGGCTCTGAGGGCTCGTGCTAAGGAGCTGTTTAATTGCGGTGTAGACAGTCGGGCTGGGGCTGGAGCCTGAGCTCCGAGACCCTCCCACCGCGCAGGGGCCTTGAGGCCAGGCTCCAGCCTGAATGTGCACACTGCAATTAAATAGTCCCTTAGCCAGAGCCCGAGTCAGCTGGCATGGGCCAGCTGCAGGTGTCTGATTGCAGTGTAGACATACCCTTAAGATTAACTGGATGAGAGAGAGAGACAGAGGGATAATGCAAGGAATAGCACCAAAAGAGTGCAGCTCACTTGTTGGAGGATGACGGCCTTGGACTCAGGAGAAGCAGGTTCTAATCTCAGCTATAGCACAGATTCTCCCTGTGTGACCTTGGGCAAGTCACTTTGCCGGTCTGTGACTCAGTTCCCCATCTGTAGAATGGGCATGCTAATCTTTGCCTACCTCACAGGGGTGCGGTGATGCTAAATCCATTTGTTAGGTGCCTGGAGGGGAGCATATAACTACCAGAGGAGTAGACCAAGTAAAGAGCAGGATTTCACCCCAAATGAATAACCAGTGACAGAATGTGGACATTCTGCAGATAATTTTCAGCAATGCAGGAGAGGAGTTTAGCAGTACTTGCTAGTGACGGCACATGAATCTGTTTATTTTATGGGCGTCTGCCTGGAAAGTGTTGTTAGTTTCCTGAGCATTCACTGATTTGTTTTCAGTAATATTTATTAAGTCACTTGTATTAACTAAAAATGAAACACTTTGCTGGCATTGGAGAAAAGCACGAGTCAGTGAGATTGCCAGTCAAGGCGTGTGCAAAAACACGCTGGGAAAGCAAGTGGGGGGAAACGGTGGGGGGAAAACGAATGCAAGCCCAATCAAGCGAGTGCACCAGGGCACGAGGAAGAGAGTAACTGCGAGAATGAGTGTGTGAGCACAAGGCATGCACAAGAGAACGCACGTGCGCAAACGGACAGAAGAGCCAAAGCGTTCACGAGAGCTGGTGAAAGACGGCAAACGTGTGAAAGAAACCGAGAGGGCGTGCAAAAGAGTGAGAGAAGCACAGGACAGAGAGGTTTCATTCAGGAGCTGAGAGCAGGCAAAGAGAAGGGAATAAATTCTAACACAAACAATCCTGTGGTAGTCCGGGCTGCTGCTCCCAGGTCCATTTCCTCATACGTTCCTTATTTTTTGCTTTTAAAGATTTTTTTTTTGGGGGGGGGGTACCTTTCTGAACAACAAAGTCATTGTAGTCCTGCCTGCAAGACAGGTTTTTATTACAGCGCAGAGACAGGAGGGGGGAGTGGAGGGGGAGAGGTCGGAGGGTCATAGCCCAGCTTGGCGGTGCTGCAAACAGCATGTGGGTTCCAGTGAGCTGTCAGCGCCAGGGCCGTAAATCAAGGCCCTGGCTTCCAAGAGGCGGCTGTGCACTCCTAGGCAGCGGAGGCACTTGCAGGGTGTGTCCCAAAGAAAGAGCCGCTTGTTAATTTTCCACATTTCCATCTATAAAGAACAAAGTTACTTTCCGTCAGGCATTTATACATTATATACTGTACCGTACACACTGTTTGGAGGGGCAGCTGAATTTACACTCGAAAGCGGAGAGATTAGCACACTCACTTGCACATATCCAGAGTAATTACATATACAAATGCACGTGGGTAGGGGTAAGGCACATAATACAGTTACATACATACTTACACCT